ACATATATTCTCATCAATGGCTGTTGTAAAGTGGTACGTAAATTTGAGGCTGTATCGTAACATGGGACATGTACGCTGCTGTTTAATCAAGACAAGACCGTATCACGCCTTGAGCACATCCATGGCACACAGAATAGCCCGAGGCCATTCGCAGTTTTGTGTCTAGATGCGCATCCATGTCTTAACATGCAATGTGCCAGCGACAACAAGGGCCCCTACAACATCCCGTTACGGTGGTTGCCCCATCTCCGTAAAGGTCCCTCTCGCTTGCTCTAATCCCAGGGTACTATGAGATGCTTGTTCCTGGATACTTGTACACGACGCTGATCGAGGACGATTTACAAGGCTTCATCCACAGATGTCTTCAGCTTCTAGGGCTGGTGATACTTATCACAGTCCTCAAGGTGAGAACGCCCTGACAGCAGTAGTGGAGTGCTTGTATAGATGCGTGGTGATCCCATGTCGCCTTGTCGTGTACTGGCATGACAGTGGTAGTGGAGTGCTTGTTCAGTTGAGTGATGGTCCCTTGTCGCCTTGTCTTGTACTGGCTTGACACCAGTAGTGGAGTGCTTGTTTAGATGAGCGATGATCCCATGTTGCCTTGTCTTGTACGGGCTTGACAGCAGTAGTGGAGTGCTTGATTAGATGAGTGATGATCCCATGTTGCCTTGTCTTGTACTGGCTTGACAGCATTAGTAGAGTGCTTGTTTAGATGAGTGATGATACCATGTTGCCTTGTCTTGTACTGGCTTGACGGTAGTAGTGGAGTGCTTGTTCAGTTGAGTGATGATTTTATGTCGCCTTGTCTTGTACTGGATTGACGGTAGTAGTGAAGTGCTTGTTTAGATGAGTGATGATCCCATGTACTGGCCTGCGTATGCACGTATGCCGCGGTAGTAATGCGCTGGGCCTGCTTCCCTGAACATAACGCAAACGTTTCACTACTATTCTCACACGCTTTTTTCAATACGTTTTACGTACAGACATTGCGATCATTCACCACATCCTGGCTGGCGAACTCGTGGCGAATAAGCATAACCAATGAAATCCATGGCTTGTATATGTCGGATCTGACCTTTCATACACTCCGCATGGAATACGCCAGGGTAAGTGCCTGCTAATCGGGGGCACTCTGTGTATTATTGGACTGAACGCTTATAGGAGCATTTACAGTCTTGAAGTACCCGGCCCCTTTTTTCAGTACGAGTGGTGCATGTTCTGTCGCTTCCATAGCATCTGCAGCTTCGTTTCACTGGCCCTGGTATAACTAAAACGGGCTGTTCATTGATCTGCGTTTGTTTGGTTTGTTTGTTTGTTTGTTTCGTGAGCTACAGATTGACAACCCGGACCAGCGCATAGTCACGGATATCAAGGAACTAACGAGCACCTTCTTCACGATACTTGGTATGTTGTCACCCACAGAAACAAACGGTAGAGGTGTTGTGAGTGTAGGTAGTCAAACGTGCGCACCTTTACGATGCTTGGTATGTTATCACTCAGCTGCGAGTACTGCAAGAACAAACGGCAGAGGTGTTGTGGGTGTAGGTAGTAAGACGTGTGCTTGATTCGCACTGTGAGAGGATCAGTTCCAATGCCTTGGCATGTTGTGTTCCACACTCACACTCACACAAATACTCACATTTGCACGCACACGCACACGCACACACTCACGCACACTCACACTCACACTCACACTCACACTCCCACTCACACTCCCAGTCACACACTCACTCACAGTCACACACTCACTCACAGTCACACACTCACTCACAGTCACACACTCACTCACAGTCACACTCCCACTCACAGTCACACTCCCACTCACATTCACACTCACACTCACACGCACACTCATACTCATACTCACACGCACATTCACACTCACACTCATACTCACACTTACACTCACAGTCACACACTCACTCACACTCACACTCACACTCACACTCACACTCACACTCACACTCACACTCACACTCACATTCACACTCACTCACACTCACACACACACGCACACTCATACTTCATATTCAACCGCAGGTGGCGTGGGTGCAGGGGGGGCATACGAAGCCTTTGGGAATATCCTGTGGTACTCCGTTCAGGTGGGCCAGAGGTGCGGGTGGTACGGTGTTGTGACTGGCTATGTATGGTCTGCTGTTATGGCCCTCATCAGCGTCGCCTTCATCAACGTGGTCGCCCCGTGGGTGTTCCGACAGGAGCGGTAGGTGCAGTGTATGGGTGGGTGCATTGTGTGAGTAGGTGCAGTGTGTGGGTAGGTGCAGTGTGTGGGTGGGTGCAGTGTGTGGGTGGGTGCATTGTGTGAGTAGGTGCAGTGTGTGGGTAGGTGCAGTGTGTGGGTAGGTGCAGTGTGTGGGTGGGTGCAGTGTGTGGGTGGGTGCAATGTGTAGGTAGGTTCAGTGTGGGTTGGTGTGTGGGTGGGCGCGGCGGTGTCTTACTACAGGAGAACAGATGTAGTGCATTGGCTGGATAGCACTGTGAAGCGGCCTTGAGCCGATTACCTAGTCAAGCGTTATGATATGCATTTGAATGGGGACCACCTAGTTAAGTACACTTTCTCAGGGGTTATCCATGAACAAGGTAATAGTACGAGAAGACACAATACATGCATCATTCACGTCTGTGACTCATTAGTGAGTAGTGTTACCATGACTACACACCACCGATAGCATATGTGACCAATAACCACGTCCTATCACAACGTACTATGCGTAGCTGTACACACACACGGCTATTGCCTTTCGTGCTGTGACGGCCAATGTTCGCATGCGCAACCACAGGTTAGAGGCGGTGTTCCGATTCTTGCACGTGACCTTAAGAACAAGGGCCGAGGATATCGCCTTCCAAGGCCACGGAACTCACGAATACGAGACTTTGGACACCTCGCTTGTCCGGTGTGTGGATAACACCAAGCAGATCATCTACCGTCAGGTGAGATGGGGTCTGAGGATGCGTGTAGTTGTTGTTAGCCTAATACAGAGCCGCCTGGTTACTTTGTACTGCGGTATGTGTACGGCTGCGTCGGTGTGTTGCTTACGATGTGTAGTAATGTACCGCGTACAGTCTCCCACACGTCCTGTCGATAGGTGTGACGTATACATGTGTCGAATGAGTCATATCATATCCGCGCGGCTGTCTGTCCTGCTATACCCCGCAGTTCGTAGCCAGCCAATTGCCGGTACATACGGATACGCCCAATCTCAACTTAGGACAACTCTCATGCTAACCAGGCAATGACCGCTCACTAAAAATCAGACTCCTATCAGTACAGGCATTTGACATGTGACATATGATATGGGCACCCACACAAAAAACACTCCTGCCAATGCACAGCTACAGGCACTTCACATATGTTATGGGCACCCACACAAACAACCCTGTTCTCCTCTGCCTCGTATGCACTCCCTCTCATCCGATCGCTTGTTGTTGCATGTTTTCATGCCGTGCCGCAGATCTATCTGAACGTCATCCAGTTCTGGTACGGCTACATGACGACCTTTGTCATGTACTTCTCTGTGGGGGTGGCCGTCTTCTCTGGACTGGCGTGGGAGTACACAGCTGAAGGCGAGCGTGCACAGTGGATAGCGCAGACCTCGGGCAGCTTCATGTTCCTGCTGTGGGGGTTTACTATCTTGATACAGGTATACACATGCATGCTTAACTCACTTAGTACAGATATACGCATGCATGCACACCTAGTGCAAGTGGTTGTGGATGCTAACTCTCTTCGTACGGGTGTACACATGCATGCACACCTAGTGCAAGTGGGTGTGGATGTTAACTCTCTTAGTACAGGTATACGCATGCATGCACATCTAGTGCAAGTAGTTGTGGATGTTATCTCACTTAGTACGGGTGTACACATGCATACACACCTAGTGCAAGTGGTTGTGGATGCAAATGTGTATTCGTCGCACTCGGTGGCAGAGAATGACTTGTATTGCCAGACATACTGCTGTGGCACTGTAACATACTGTAGTTAACTGCTCTAGTGCTGTAGTATACAGTAGTACTGTATGGCTTTTGATGCCGGACAAACTACTGTAGTATTTCTGGCAGTACAAGCCATACAAAACTACAGTATACTACAGTAGAAAACTACAGTAGAATACTACAATAGAATACAACAGTAGAATACTACAATAGGATACTACAATAGAGTACTACAATAGAATACTACAATAGCATACTACAATAGAATACTACAATAGAATACTACAACAGAATACTACAATAGAATACTACAATAGAATACTACAATAGAATACTACAATAGAATACTACAATAGAGTACTACAGTAGAATACTACAGTAGAATACTACAATAGAATACAACAGTAGAATACTACAATAGAATACTACAATAGCATACTACAATAGAATACTACAATAGAATATTACAATAGAATACTACAATAGAATACTACAATAGAATACTACAATAGAATACTACAATAGAGTACTACAGTAGAATACTACAGTAGAATACTACAATAGAATACTACAAAAGAATACTACAATAGAGTACTACAGTAGAATACTACAGTAGAATACTACAATAGAATACTACAATAGAATACTACAATAGAATACTACAATAGAATACTAAAATAGAATACTACAATAGAATACTACAATAGAATACTACAATAGAATACTACAATAGAATACTACAATAGAATACTACAATAGAATACTGCAGTAGAATACTACAATAGAATACTGCAGTAGAATACTACAATAGAATA